CCATCCCTCCTGTCTGAGCCCGTGCGCATCCATCGGTCCCGGTGAAACTAGAAAGACCTTCGGGCCACCAGAAAACCTTCCTTCACAAAAAAAGCGAAAGAATGCAGGACCATAGTTTACACTATTATCAATAGTTACGGAAGCTAATTTGTTGTTTGAACTACATATTCACGGTACGTACCTACATCACCTATTTCGGCATAGGCACTTCAAGGGCTACGTAAATATTTAAAAAAACCACTCGATTCAACCATAGCTTCTGTAGTTAAACCTCACGTATGTATTTGGATATGCACGTATGTTTTGGTGGTTACGGATTATTTTTAGTTAGTCGTTTTAAGTCGTCATGACCTAAAAAGATAAGACGTCCGGTGCAACTCGTATCTAGCGAAGCAACGGTGTTCGAATCCTACAGGCAGGTATAGTAACCGGCAAACTTCTTGAGCAAATGACCTTGACTGCGCAGAACCGAATTTTAGATCACTTTGGTGGTGGGTGAGGCGCGACGGCAGGGGAAATCGTATCGAGCGCGTTATTGGTAGATCAGTCGAACCTTGCGTCCCGCACCGCACCCTCGTTCCGCTTGTTCCCAAAAGTACGCTTGCGTACAGTGAAAAGTCATTATCATCGTTATTCGTTATTTCATTATTAATCATTATTAATCGTTAAGTTATTTGTTATAATTATTGTTTGTTGACTTTGTTGCCATTGCTATTTGTTGAGTGTTTGTTGATTTTTTATAAAAAATACACTATGTCGCGACAAACTGGTGTAGTATTCAAAAGAAAGGGTAGAAAATTTGTGTACGACGTATATTGCTTCATTATAAAACAGGGGAAGAATGATATGGAAAAAGTAAAACAGATTTCGGAAGCAACAAAAACATCAGTGAGTACTGTTAGGTCCATTATTAACGAAGCTAAAGGCTCTGGCTTGCTCGCCGTGTTTGGGACTCCGGGTAAGAAAAGATCAGGGAAGAAGAAAGTTACCGGAATGGATAGTTTCGTTCAATCTGTAATAAAAAGATGTAATCATAATAATAACTAGATAACAAGCAGCGAAACTCCGTACCGTAGAAAGGCTTCGAAAAATTTAAAGAAGATATAAATTTTAATGGCTCGGTATGAAGTTTACGACGAATTATGGAAAAGCTAGGCTTCAGATGGAAAAAAAACAGAAAATAATGGGAAGCTGGTAATTGAAAAAAATTACATTCGATTACTACGAATCGAATATCTTCAAAAAATAATTAATTATAGACAAAAAAGTAGACCGAACCGACCGAGTTGTAAACTACACCGATGATCCCTATGTCGACTCATCACGATGATGGCGACTCGGGTGATGAAAACAGTGATGATGATGATGGTCAAGATTATGACAACGAAAAAAAAAATTACAAATACCAGCTTCGCTTCAACTGAACCAAGACCTGGAAACAGCTCTAGTTTTGACTTAATAGAAGGAATATCTATTTTACCCCAAGATTAAATTATTACAATTATTAACCTATATTTTTTGTTGATGTTCTCATAAATATATAAATAAATACATATGTTGATTTTAATAATTTAATAGCATTATGACGCAGAGTAAATAATGTTTTTGCACGTGAGTGTACCATGCGCAAACTTACCCCCACTACGTCGACAAATGCTCAAGAAGTTTGCCGGCTATTATACCAATTTTTCCAATGAAATACGTAGGTACTTAACAAATTTTCACGACTGCCTTGCACGGTGAAGGAATAACATCGTGTATTAAAAATCAAACCCGAAAAATTATAATTTGCGTAATTACTGGTGGTAGGACCTCTTGTGAGTGTGCACGGGTAGGTACCACCACCCTGCCTATTTCTGCCGTGAAGCAGTGTTGCGTTTCGGTTTGAAGAGCGGGGCAGCCGTTGAAACTATACTAAGACCTTAGAACTCATATTTCAAGGTGGGTAGTGCCATTTACGTTGTAGATGTCTATTGGCTCCAGTAACCACTTAACACCAGGGAGCTGTGGGTTCGTCCACCCATCTAAGCAAAAAATAAATAAAAAATCGTTTTGAGGAATTCCTTACAATGATCCCATCATTTCGTTTTTACCTTCGCGCCCCCCATCATCGGAGAAGAGTTCATCCATACTACCTAGGACTACTACGATCATCCACGGTGTATTTTCAGAGATCTTTTTTGTCCCCGTTCCTTAGAACTCATATCTCAAGGTGGGTGGCGGTATTTACGTTGTAGATGTCTATGGGCTCCGCTGTGGGCTCGTTCGCCTATCTACGCAATAAATAAATAAAATTACCTCTCCCCGCTCGCAATATTAGTTGTAATTAGAAACATTTAGAGGATTTGATCGCTTCGGACGGGTCACCTAGCAGGCCTCGGAAGCTTCGTACGAAATGACTTAATATGCAATATACATTAAATTCGTACCCTACAATCTAGTAGGAGCCTTACTCTAAAGGTATACGCATAAAACTGTAAATTACGTTAAAAGTAGGGTATTTAATTGGCGAGGCGCCGGGCCGTGGCGCTCCGCCCTCGACCCCGCCCCGGGGGCGCAGCACCACGCCTCTGTTACATCGAGCGTGTAATTAATTCTATTCCTCGGAAATTCCCCGATGCCTGTTTTATGAAGTGTACGTGTGAATCAAAACGAGCTTTCGCTGTGCTTTCGTGGCTTTTTTTTGTTGTTGATGTTAAAGCTCGCGGTCGGTAAAGTTTTTCGCTTTTCGTTCGGGGCTGTCGGTGGCGTTAAAAGATATATTGTTCGGGATCTGTGACCGCGAATGTAGAGCGAGCTTGACTCTAAGCTACACGGGTTCAATTATACTTGGGTTCAGTCACTGTGCGCCTGTACAACAAAATCCCACAAGATGTTCAGAACCTACATATACACAGGTTTAAGAAAACTATTAAAGAGCATCTGTGCAATAAAGCTTACTATAAAGTCAATGATTATATAGAAGATTGCACAAAGTGGGAATGAGTTGATCGCTCCGGGCATTTCAATATTGCAATAATTGTTACGTTATAATACGTCTTGTAAAAATGAATATTTAAAAAAAATCTAATATTTAAAAAAAAAGACATGCCCGCTGAGTTTCTTGCCAGTTCTTCTCAGGACGGAGGCTAGTTTTTGTGAATTGGCGGTAGTTCTTTTTGACGTTCAACAAGTAGGTATGTAATTTCATTTATGTTGAATAAAAAAAAAATATTTTGCTTTTTGCTTTTGATCGAAATTCAACCATAATCACTGACACCTCAATATTTAGATTACTTTAATCTTTTTTCTTTTGTTTTGTTACGTAGACCTGCTTTTTCTCGCAGAGATGGACAAAAAGTATTTGTTTTTCATATTTATGTAGGTACCTACGTTTCAATAAATAGGGCAATGGGGCATAGGGCATGACAACAGTGTGTTCTAATTTGCAAAACTGTAGGTATGTTTGCGTTTCCTTTTTTTGTTAGGAGTTCCTAACAAAATGCTAAGTCAGCTAGTTAGCTGACCCGGCAGACTTCGTAGTGCCTCAATCGATAAATAAAAGACCTAAACTTTTGTATAAAATAAAATTAAAACAAACAAAAGGAATCCGTCCGACGGGGGATACATCAAAGGAAAACAAAATTGTTATTTTTATTTAGTTCCAAGGATTTTCATATTTATCTATCTTTTAAACCTTCTCTGGACTTCCACAAATAATTCAAGACCAAAATTAGCCAAATCGGTCCAGGCGTTCTCGAGTTGTAGCCAGACTTACCAACAGCAATTCATTTTTATATAGGTATTATATTAATATTAATTAATTAATAATAAATAAACATTCCACATTTTCTGCTCTCAAGCTACGAATCCTTACTTCGTTTACAAATGAGCCAAAAAAACATTCATCGAAATCCAAATAATGAAATAACTTTAATATAAATAAATTGACATAAATTGAACCTACACGTCCAGTACTCAACATCATTCGCTAAATAGAAATACCATACAGAGATGGTATTTCTATTTAGCGCTTTATCAAAATTTAAAAAAATATACCTTTTTGTTGGCTTCTATAATTTGTTAGGCTTACAAGCAATAGCACACTTTCTTTTTGAGGTCTATAAAACACCCTGATATTAAACAAGCTAATTCAACAATAAAATTCAAGTAAGAAAATTGCATTTTTTTATGAGCAAATTGTATGCGTGGTTTATATGTTAAATCAAGTGTCCCACATTTATAATGCATTTAAAATACAAATAGTATATAATAATATGGATAATAGGATTAATGAATCCAGGTGGAAATGAGAGTTAATGTATCTTCATGCAAAATTTCTATTCTCAAGATGTAAAATCAAAGCGATACTTAGGTATAAAACCGATTCTCAATCCGTCATTAACAAATCGATATAGAATTGACGTATGTTTGTATTACGATTGAAGTTAATAAAAATAAAAAAAACACGCAAATAATATAACAATTCTGTTTGTTTAATTTGTAATTACCGATGTCTTGTCTACGCAAAAATGAAATTCAGAATTCTAAAGTAGACTGATTTATTTTTTCATCTACGCGCTATTTTTATAATGCGACTTGATTTTTATTTATTTATTGCTTCGATGGGTGGACGAGCTGACGGCCCACCTGGTGTTAAGTGGTTACCGGAGCCCATGGACATCTACAACGTAAATGGCGCAACCCACTCGGAGAAACGAGTCCTAAGTCTCAATTTTCATCTATACATAATGATATCTATACATAACACGAGGTACGGATTAACCAAATTAAATTATCGACGACCATGTGTCTACGTACTTCGCATCAAGTCCACGCGTCGCGACTCCTGTGTGCTTAGTGCGATTTTTTTAAATTCTCGGCAAAGACAGAGACGCTCTTCTAACTGCATATAAATTTGAGTTAACTTTTACGCTATCGAGAACGTTAAAAAACTCGTACTAAGCACACTTAATGTCCAAGGGAAAGTGTTGGGTATAATGAATTGGTTTGATTCACAGGTTTACGAGCTGGAGCGAAGATTTAAGCAGCAGAAGTATCTGTCGGCACCGGAGAGGGAGCACCTCGCCTCGCTCATTCACCTAACGCCGACCCAAGTAAGTTTCGATTAGATGTACGATCTCTGAGTGAAATCGGTAAACAGTTGACGTCGCCCAAAACACGTCATTTCGGATTGTCCTGATCCACTAACGGTGCTTTTAGGTACCCCAAGCACCGGTCATTGTTCTCGTCTAATCTGTCGCCTGCGACGAAGGGCTCGGCGAGTAAATTAACCCACAGACACAGCCCACTGACTTTCTCGCCGCATCTTCTCAGTGGGTCGCATTTCCGATCCGGTGGTAGATTCTGCAAACCACTGCTCTTGCTAGGGTTAGTGTTAGCAACAACGTCAGATTTGAGCCCCGTGAGCTCACCAACTTGTTAGGGTTACTCTGAAATGGCCTCTCAAGGCCATCAGCTTGGTAGGAACAAAAGAGTGAAATCGTAGAAATATTTAAATACATTGATCGATAATATTTGGATAACGTCAAAATTCAATGTTTTGTACTCCTGAAAATAAAAGGTTTTTATTACAGCAGACTTTTTACTGTAGCCTTGTGAGACTGTAACCTTAGTTACCACCTTCTCGCCTCTATCTGCCGCGGAGCAGTTGTTTAGTTTTGGAGGGTAGGATAGCCATAATAAATATACCTTGTGTCGTCTACGGGCTTCGGTACCCGCTTGACAGAAATAAGATCGTAAGCTTACTCATTTGACTAGTGTCAATAGTAAATGAAATAAAAACGAAATATGCAAGGCCAATTTTAGCTACAATTGAAATCACACGAAACCGTGAGAAAACAATGCTGTACCAACATAACAAGAATAAAACTCGCAAACGTATCTCCGGGCGTTATTGTTTATTGTCATCGAATAACAAGTGTAACAACATTAGGGCGTTTCCTGGCTGCTACCGACACCCGGACATAAATCACTGCATCGCCCGGGGCACGCCGCCCCATTACCACGATACGCCCCGGGCGACCGCTTGTTATATCTCTGGCAACACAAGACGGTTGGCTCGTTAAAGTTGGCATCTTGTTTCACGCGCTGATGGCAACACCAGTGGATCGAGCCCTCGCCTTTGATTGTCGAGTGTGGCTTCCTTGTTTGAAGTTTTTTTTCTCGAGTGAATCTTCAAATTAGTTGAGTGTAGACGTTTCGGTGCAGGCACAAGTGTTTTTGTGGTGTCTCGATAATGATAAAGAAATAAATAACAGAAAAAAAATTGAGTTTTTGAAATATATAAAAAAATAAGTATAATACCAAAATGGGACTGGTTATAAAAGCTGTGTACGTACAATATAGTGCACATGTATGATGTACGCGGGTACACGAGTGGGCGCTATTAATATTTCTGTCAGCGGCACGCGACCCGTTTTCCCACATTCGCGTTTGATTCAAATCCAGTTTCACAACGGGCCCGTCGATAATCTCCGCCGTGTCAATATAAATTTCATAAACTCACCGTGTAACCCCGACAAAGGGCCGCAAACATCCATGAATAATCTCCATTTTGAGGGTGTCAACACCATTTACGGCGACGGCGTTTGAGTTCGCGCCAAAACAAACGTCAATCTGAGTTGGCGGGAACAATGGAGGCGGCTGTCAGCGAGGCGCGAGCTAATTCGATGATTATAATGCGGTGCATTGTCGCTATATTAATTGGTTCATGTTGTGTTGGTCAGGCATTGTTCGTTGGTGGGTTGATAGGCTAATTGGTTTGCTTAATGTCATTTAAGACATATGAAACATAAACACAACACAACAAAACACGTNAACGTCAATCTGAGTTGGCGGGAACAATGGAGGCGGCTGTCAGCGAGGCGCGAGCTAATTCGATGATTATAATGCGGTGCATTGTCGCTATATTAATTGGTTCATGTTGTGTTGGTCAGGCATTGTTCGTTGGTGGGTTGATAGGCTAATTGGTTTGCTTAATGTCATTTAAGACATATGAAACATAAACACAACACAAAAAAACACGTTGAATCTTTTAGAATATTCGCATAAGATGCTATTTTTTTGTTTGAATCACTTCAACGATGACTGCTCTATGAACTGTTTAAATTTTAAATTTTAATTTTAAGTAATTAGTCGAAACTGTTCATTAAAATCATCCACCACCCGCCTCCTGAATAAAGTTCGATCTTACTAAAAGGAAAGAACGCAGTAGTCTGTGGTGAATTTTTACGATTTTTCCACATACCATCAAATTTTGAAATTAACGTCAAATGAGGTATTAGAAAAGAGTGCATTGCGTTTGGCACGGCATTGCTATTACCTATATTGGCATTTAACTATTTAGGATCAGATGTCTACCAAGCTCGTCCGCTTGGAATGTCAGTATACCACCACGTCAATGTCAAGTCACCAGTGTTACTAACACAAAAAAAAACGTTGACGGTAAAATAATTAATAACGGCAGTAGAACGATGCCAGTTAACAAATTCAAAGTAGCCCAAATACAAAGATCATGAATAAATACAATACTCGATATAAGTACCTAGATATATATTTGTAGTCGTTTCGCGTTTAAAGCAAATCGTGGTACGGGAAGCTTTGTGCATATTCATAACGTTCCCTGGCGAGCGCTGGGTAAAGCTTGGCATGTACTATAAATTTAACGTATTTAAAGCGCAAACATTATTTATTACACGGTATTTCTCAAAGTAATGACTGTAATATCTTTTTTTATTTTTTATTTTGATCTTTTTTTTTATGGCTTAGATGGGTGGACGAGCTCACAGCCCACTTGGTGTTAAGTGGTTACTGGAGCCCATAGACATCCACAACGTAAATGCGCCACCCACCTTGAGATATAAGTTCTGAGGTCTCAAGTATAGTTACAACGGCTGCCCCACCCTTCAAACCGAAACGCATCACTGCTTCACGGCAGAAATAGGCAGGGTGGTGGTACCCACCCGCGCTGACTCACAAGAGGTCCTACTACCAGTAAATCTTTAAATCATTGACTTAGATTGATCAAAGAATGGTTCTCTAATCCTTCTTTAAGTAGCATTAGATCCTCTGATCCAATGCTACGTGAAGCCTTATAGAGCAACTTCAAAAATGGACAATTCAAGACGAAGTTTTAATTGAATTTGAATAACTATGGGTAACCTAATCAATTCGTTAAGAGTCGACCACAGCAATTACAAAGTATTAGAAACGCCGGAAATAGTATAATGATAATAGAAAACGCTAGATTATACTGTATTAATAATTTTCATTGTGCCTACGGGTCGTGAAATAGGAAGAAAAACTTATGCAATGGTTATCGGATCCTCAAAATCGATATCCACGCACGAAACCATAAACAAATTTATTAGAAAAAAAACTGAAAATTGTGCTTAGCTCTAGTGATCATGAGGATATTTTTTGCCGTCTTTGTTGAACGGTCGAGCTCATAGTCCACTTAGCATTAAAGGTTTATTTTTATTGGTCTAGTTTGACGGTTGTCCCGCTCTACAAACGGGAACACGTGACTGATAGGACACGTGATGAGAGTCACCGATGATACGCGCCCAACTGCTTCTGCTTTGTCGGTATAGCTCTTGACCGAATGGTTGTGGTCATCGATCGCTTCAGGTGTTGGTGGCAACCTTCACAACACACGGCCACTCTTCTCTGAATATTAAAAAAAGTTGAATTTAAATTTAGCAATGGGCTTTCGATTTTTTGCGGACCTAGAAGTAATTCATCAAACCCTTATGACGTATTAATTCTGATTCGCCAGTTAACCTACAAAAATTAAGGAATACCATTGTGCTTTCAACCTAACGAGCAATAAAGGCTCCCCGGCCGCAGCCCAGAACGTTCCGCAGTATTTGGCGTTCACTGCAAACAGAGGGTCCTCGCTTCGTTATTTAACTTAAGTAAATTTCTATGTTAGCGATGCGGCTGCCCTCTATCGGCGCTCCGGCGACTGCCGCTACTCCCGGAGCGATTTTCGGAATGTATAATTTTTTTTTGGTGTTTTGATTTCATTATTTTTTCTCAGTAAAGTATCGATACTGAGTCGGCTGGGTTATTATTTTGGAAATTATGTTCAAGCGGGCTGCCAAGCTCGATGTTTGAACGCTCGGTTGATGAGATTTAATTATTTTCACCTCAGCAGCGCAAACATGGCGCTTTTGCTGCGAGACAAAACGCGATTTTGATTCGAGCGTGGGTCAAAGTAGCTTTTTAAATTTTCAATCTTCAGTGCCACGAATCGACATTGTTCAGCCATAAATTTGAAACATTCGAATTATACTGTGCTCTGTCTCTTTCACATGCATATAAAAAAGCGAGTGAAAAAAACAAACCCCTTCGAAATTCGATTTTGGCATTCGACCTCAAAGAAAACACGTTCGGAAACGCGTAATTTAAATATATTTGTAATAAAGAAATTACTATATATTAATTAATTTGTTCACTCGTTTTTTTATGTGCATGTGAAAGAGACAGAGCACAGTAAAATTCGAATGTTTCAAATTAATGGCTGAACAATGTCGATTCGTGGCATTGAAGATTGAAAAATTAAAAAGCTACTTTGACCCACGCTCGAATCAAAATCGCGTTTTGTTTGCTTTGTCTCGTCGCAAAAGCGGCATGTTTGAGCTGCTGAGGTGAAAATAATTAAATCTCATCAATCGAGCGTTCAAACGTGCTGTTGAGTCAGTTGAGACAGTTGAGTGACTACGCTCAGGATTGTAACTTTGAATCAATTCGCTTGCTCGAGACTCAAAATCAGCACTCGAAACAAAGGACAACTTTGCTCTCTTGTTGCATACATAACTATTAGAGTCATTTTTGAGGCATGAAACAAAGTGAGAAGTCTGGTCTACTTATATCAAGTCGTAAGACTTAGGGTACAATTCTTTTTTGTTGTTGAGAGCCTGGTTTTCTTTTTTTGTTTTCAAGAAAAACAGTAAAACGTTATTTAGCTATCTACCAGTTTCTTATCCACCTACCTGCTCATTTTTGTAAGGACTTTTCGCAGTACAGAAGAGTGGGGTAACTGTTATTCAATACACCTGAGGCTTCAACTTAATACTGGTGGTAGCGCATC